CAGACTAGCCCAGGGACCATACGTAGTAACAGTGTAGACCAGCTGTTCACTACAGGTACGGGCCACCGCCCCACAGGGCCACGAAAGCAAGAACCATGAGTGTGCGACTTTTGGGAAAATCAGAACGAAAACTCGAGAGATGACGGCTTTTTACCAATAATTGGGTAGTCCTTACGAGAAATGTGTCGAGCGTAGCGAATTTGTCAGAAGGGCTTCTTATTCGTGGGCCAGGAAGCAATGTAGAAGGAGCAGAGTAGGGTGTGCATTGCAGTTGGTTCCCTTGAATTTTTTGCATCCCTTCTATTCCAACGAATGACAAGACAGGGGTGCCGCAATAAGATAAGGCTGGGGAACTGGTACCTCCCATGCCCCTCTATCCCTTGTGGTCGACACCAAATGCTCTAAACACATCAATTTCAATTCTAAGGGAACTGTCAGGGGAATCCGACAGTATTTACGCAGAAAACTCTGCCCATAAGATATGGGCTCCATGGAGACGGAATTCATGCAGAAACCGAAGTCAGACCAGATTTCTTGTGCCACCAAGGAAGGTAGCCTCTCAAAGCTATAATAGGCTGCCGACCTGTCTGTGACCGCTGAGACTAGAGAATACAGGAACACTGGTGCAGAAACCGGTTACAGAAATTGTCCATAGACTAAAATGACCCCAAAACATCTGACATACCTTCCTAGCGCTTGAAACTTCATATTCAGCCACTCCGGCGGCACCTACAAGACTACTGCTACCACGCGGCGCCGAGCGGCAACTAACTCTTGGCAGCGGAGATTGCCGACACTGTGCCGCGAAGTAATCTATCAATAAATCAATCCGAATTATCACTCTATAACGATGCTTTATCTGAGGTGAAGTTCCCAACTACTAAACCACCCAACAGGGGCGTGCGGCTCCAGTCTGTGCATCATTCCACGAAGGCGAGCATGCGAAGAGAACAACATCTCCCAGCTGCCGAAGCTTCATGTTGTATGCCAAGTGATGAAAGACCGAATATTTAGAATCTTGAACTTCCCGTATCTCCCGAGCTTGCAAGTGATGCTGCGGAGTCGCATGAAGCCCCGTGAGATGATTGTGAGCGATCATTCGAACTTCGGCGGCAGCCTCTTACGCTACACTAATCATGGATACAGCTAGTTAGAATCCTTTGTTGATTCGCTTTTCTTCGTGCATTCGGGCAATAGGCGAAGCTGGAGAAGATTCTCCCTGCCTTCTCCAAGATGACTGGGAAAAAGACCCTACCTGGGTTAGGGGAGCGCGAGGCGAAATGGTCGGAATCTTTTGAAGGGGCAGTGGTTGATGATTTCTCAATCCCAAAACAATCGTACGGAAATGAAGGGACGCCCAATGGCAGGCCCGTTCGTAGCCCCAAGCCCACCCAAAGGCGTAGCCGAACATTGTCTCTGTGGCTTGTGGCGGTTGTCTTGTTTGCTTCAATGGCAGCAAAGATCTGCATGCCTAAACTTTCGAAAATTTCCTTGGACAAGTCGGGTTCGGGCGGACGGGAAGGGAACGGGTTAAGTGAAGGCGGAGGCTTCATTGCAGATCTGGAGAATAAGGTCACAGTTGTGGCTGGATTGCCGTCCAGATCTGTAATAACGCCAGCTCCTTTTATGGCAGGGGATATGTTCTATTTTGAGGGAAGCACTCATCTCAGGCCACAAACTGTACCATTTGTGTTGGAGCAGCCCGGGGCCTTTGCAACAGAGTACGGTAAAGTGCCGAAAGCTTGGGTAGGCCATATCCAAAAGGAGACGCCTGTAAATCACGTTGCAGTGTTTGCGGAGCCCTTAATTGTCCCGGTACAGATGGAATGGCGAGAGGATCGCCCGAGCACTCCAGCTTCAGAGGACAGAATGGAATTTGTGCCGGTGCAAATCCGTTCGGCGGATGCGTTTAACGTAGCACGCGAGATAGCAAAGCGATACACAAGCGCAGGCCCTGTGGAACAGAGGAAGGAAGCTGATGTGGATGCAGTGAATAGACGCTTCAGTGGTTTGCACGAGAGAGTGGGGAGGACGCTGACGACGGTTGCCATGGAGGCTAGCCGCGTCCCAAACACGAAGTTCGACCTAGATTCCCGGGAGCTGCGAGCGAAACTGGCTCTTCTCGAGGTTGGTAGTGACGTTGAGAGGATCAAAAAGCGACAAAATGACGCTCTACAGGCACTTGGACAGGCTCAGGCGAGAGCCGCGTCTGGTGATCAGGATGGGCAAGCACAGCGTCAAGTGCAAGATGCACTCCACACGTATAAAGCACTCCTGACATATGAGAAGGTCCTACTTGAGGGTTTACTGGGGCTCACAAAGCGATGGGGATCAGAAACAGAGAATATCATGTCAAATGTGGCGTCTGTGCTAACTTCTTCTGCATTCAAGAGCATTGAAGAGGTTGCGTCCCTTCAAGGTGCAACTTGTGCTGCGATTAGAGTTGGAAAGAAACTGTTCGATATGAAGACTCCAATCCAGAGAGAGGCGTGCAGTAAAAACGCGTGTCGTTTCGTGAGCGATGCTGTGACGAACCGGTTGGAGGCGATAGACCTTCTGGCCACCAGCATTGACCAGAAGACACCTGCGGAATTTTTGAACCTCTTGCAACAAGTCGACCGCAAACACAAACAGAGTCGAAACATAGTTCGAGACAACTTGTTGAAGAAAAAGAAGGAGACCTGGATAGCCGACGTTATTTAGTGCGAACTGGGAAGCTTTCCTTCTTGGAAAAATATTGTTGCAGTTCACGTGCTACTTGTGTGGACGAAGCCATGGTGGAATCTCAAGGGGACAAAGCGCATGCCGCACAGCGGGTAGCGTCGCTTTGTCAGAGATTATGAGTAATTGACCCTCTGCACCTTCGGATCACTGCCAGCTTGTTGCAGCTCCATGTTAAGCGCTTGCGCCCAATATTCTAGGACAAAGTTCCCTCAGCGTTTTTGCCGCGAACATCTTGGTAATAGGCTCCGAAGGTCCCGCGTCGCGAAGTGGCGTCGCACAAAGGCCCGTCGTGCGGTTTTGTTTTCACTATGCATGAGGGCTAGCGTTGATCCAGTACACTTTTATCATGTATGAGTTTCGTCTCAGAATTTCGGTATATGATGGGCCGTCCGTGTAGATAGCTGTCGGGATCAGTGTACGTTTTTCAGCAGGTGTAGCTGTTCCTGTTCGTGCTATCCGTTGTAGTGGGGGCGTAAGTGTTTTACTTATTATGAGCGCTACGAAGGGGAAACTTTGTCAATGGCTGCGGCGAGTTGGCACAGCGCCTTCAAGTCCTTTCCTTTCAAGAGCGGCTACACGGCGGCGTTGCTTCCTTCAGTTCCTTTCAGCTCGGCAGAGGCATAAGTTGCAGCTGATGGCCCGGAAGTTCTGTAACGGATGGGGCACACCGTTTGGACCTAGTTCGGGAAGCAGTTGGGATTGAAGGGAACAGACAGAAGGAATTGCGAGCACAGTATTCTTGTTGCTTGCAGCTGGCTCCCCGCCTCGATGGGCGGCTTGGGTTTATCTGCACAGGTTTGCGATTCAAGTTGTTAACTGAAGGCGTTTCCAACCAGCTCGTTTATAAAGCAAGCCAATATATGGTTTCAACTTCCACTGAGGCAATGTACGCTCTACGCAGCGCTTTTTTGTTGATTAGAGAACGTTCTAGCGGCGGGTGACTGCGAGCAACGCAAGTTGTAGTTCTGTGGTGACGTAAATTAATTTGGCATTATGTTTGCCGAACCCAGGCCGTGGCGAACAATACCAGCAATATTTGTGCTAGTGTCAGCGATGTTGTGGGTATGGGGGTGTTCTGTTGTCTCAGCGTGCAGTGTCACTTGCATTTCGCACTGACACACTCGAATATAAAGCAGTAGACCCAAGACTGATTATTATGTTTTTTTTCAAATTCAAGCGTCTGCCGCCACTTGTGCGGTCAAGTAGTTTTTAATATTTTCAGTGTTTTTCTAGCTTGGGAAAGATTTCAGAGCGCTCTTCTGCATTAGTGATGGAGGCGACAACAACAAGCTCCCTACCGCTCGGCAGGATACAGGAGCATTCATTTCTTAGTGCATGTGGCATGCATGTTCTGGCGTACAGCATGTCGCTGCTGCAAGCGCAAAGTGGGGAACTGCAGAACTCACTGCCTGAATACGCAGACTGCCTGAATACGCAGACTCCCCCCACACGTGCATTGCTGAGCGGATTGTGAATGAATAGGCTTATGGAGTGTGTCCAGTTACGTGCTGCGTTGTGTTCTGATGCGTGGCTTGCAAGCAGCTGAGCCCAGTTGAACGGCAAAAAAGAAGCGTAGAACGTCGAAGCCACTGCAGCAACTGTCCGCACGTCTTGCAGGAAATTAGACAGAAATTATCAAGGGCTGAGTTCTGACGAAGCGACAACCACAAGTAGGAAACTGACACCAGCGCAGAGGTTAATCTGCGTATAGGAATGCAGTTTACGTTAAATGCACTTTCAGGCTTCAGACCTGCGGAAGTTTGTTAATTATTGACAATTTGTCATTAGATTGCATATCTTTCAACATATTGACAATTTGTCATTAGATTGCATATCTTTCAACATATTTCAAGCTCTCGGCAGAACATTTGCGGGTGCTTACAAGAAAACTTTGGAGCCTGGTGAATAAGAGCAGCTCCCCTTTAACAGTTCCTCTTTAAAACAATTCGCGATGCAAGCAAATCACTTGCTGTGGAGCAGCAGGCGTGCGCGGAAGGCCTAACAAATCAGCCTGCGATGAAAGTTAGGTGAAACGAGTGTCAAAACCCGCAGCACAAAAAGGCAAATGAAGACGACTTGAGAAGCTTTGACCTTCTCCCACCAGGGTCTCCTGTTTGGTGAGGGTGTCCTTGTGGGGACATTTCCGGCCAGGCCGATTGCTGCCTATACAGTTGCTCTTGAAAGCCGAAGCTTTGCCGATTCATGATATCAAATCACTCAATAACACCGGTTAGTGACTCTCTTTTCCCTCCCCTTTTTGTCTTCTCTACAGCTGTTTATGACCCCAATGCATTGAACGTGTTCACAAGATTTTTTGCGAGTAGGAGAAAAACTAGAAGAAGAGCCATGGCCACCACAACAGATGAAAAAGTAGCACTGAACGCCACAAACAGAAGGGTTAACAAGACTGCCGTTGCGACCGTCAAGGTCAATGTAGTTTTTCCTTGGTTTGCAGGTTCAGCTGCAACCTGTAAGAATGACGCGCTGAGTTGCTCTTGCTTGCGAATAACGCGTCTTTCCTCATCAGCTGCTGTACCAGCCACTGCAGCTGAGAGTTTGCCGAAGCTTTTGCTTCCTGTGCTAAGCTCCACAAGTGCCTTCAGGTACATTCCCAAGTAACGCTTCCCGTTGTTTGTTTTCCGGAGAAAAATTGAGAGTCCTTCTTGTGGGACTAGCTCTCTACCCATGAAGGCCAACAAAAGTCGCACGGCCTGCCGCGTGAAAAATGAGCTTCGCAAGCATAACGTCACTATGCGCATGGTAACAGTGCTTGACTTCAAGCCTGAAAGGACAATAAAACAACGATCGTGAGAAGCAGACGTCACCTAATGGCATTGGCAAGTCACTTGCAAATTTATTTCACCAGAATGCTCCAAGGAGCCAAATGCCACCATGGAAAGGCTGCTGAGCTCCACGCTTTCTGACTATAGTGCACGTACTCAATCGGGAAATAGCAACAGCCGAAGCAGCTGCATTTTGAGTATACATGAGTATACGGCCCGTTCTCCCAGTTGATTCTTCCAGGGGTATTTCTGCTAGTTGTTCAGGCTGCTCCTCTCGAAGCTCCTGTGAAACCATTTGAAGCTCCTGAAGAGCGCTCATCCCCTCATTCTCATTAAGTGAGCTACTGGGCCTTTCAACTGCTTTCATTTCAGGTGGCGATGGGCCTGTGCTGCTGCTGTTAGTTTCTTCATCACTGGCAGGAGAAGAGCTTAAGTCAAGGCTTTTGATATTTTGGAGCCTCCCTGAGAAGCCAATCTCCGTCGCCTTAGGCCTTCCAGCTTGCATGTACTGATCGTACTTCTCAAGTAGCCTGCAAGTCATGTCCGCTTGGTCACCATTTCTCTCGAAACTGACGCAGTCGCTGGCATCAAAGAGCCTTTCAACAGCTATCAAGATGGCAGCTTCGATAACCTGCGCCGTTTTGACAGGCCTCCTCCTGCCCCACACAATTTTTTCAGGAATCCCAGAAGAGCTGCCTGCTGGGCATGACACCCCGTCAGCCAGCATTGTAGTTGTCAACCGGACTGCAACGGGGTCAGCGTGCGGAGGGATGTTAACGAACAGCTCGTATCCTCGAGTAAGGAGCTGCGGCAAGGAATACAGAGCAAAAGTGAAGCCCAAGTGTTGTTCGGGAAGTGTTAAAGAATGACCATTCCAGTTTGCAATCGATGCAGCTGGCGCCTTTGCAGCAAGTATCCCGTGCGTGACAACTTACATCTACAGCTTCTGGTCTGGCAGCATCTGCCTTTGTAGGCTGTCTCCTTTTCATTCTGTTCCAGACCCTTTTTATTCCATTTCTTGTGCTTCGCAGGCCTAGGCTGCTGCTCTTCAACAAGTGTACTAAACGAATGTGTTGGTTATCTGCAGTGCCGACGGCGCTCCAGTTCAGCCTTGCAAACGCCTGGCTCAACGAGTCTCCCCCAGGAATCAGCGGAATATCGGGGGGTCCACTCGAGAACTGTGCAGCAAACCAAGCCATACTGAAGCATTGCAACATGGGAATTAATAAGGAATAGGCTGAGTGAAGCCTTTCTATATTTAATGGCGCTGTTTCGTAGCAAAGGTAAATAAGAAGGGCATACTTCGAGGCCGTTGAACCAGCGTTCCGCATCCTTGTATTCTTCCGCTGCGTTACGCATACCAGGAGCACAAGAAATGCCAGCTGTGTTTCCGCCGAATTCTTCATGTGCGCTTAAAGTTGATGTGAGACACACCAGGGGCAGCGGTGGAGGGGATCTGAGCAGCACTGTGAGCTTACCTGAAGCGCCTGTTACTGTTTCACGCAGGAATGGGTGAACTAAAAAAAGACGATACAGTTTCAAGCATTCTGAAGAAGCAAACGACAGCATCAATCTATTTTCCTTGACTTCCACGCGGCAAATTTCTCTATTTCCCTAGTCCCTTTTGCCGCTGCTGACTAGCCAAAAATTGAGGCACACTCACCTATTCTCTGCTCAGTATCACTAGGGACCGTTTTCGACATGCATTCTCCAACCTTCCTGAGCTGTTCAGCGATTATAAGTGCATACAACGAGCAGTTGCGTCGAGAAGTGTCTTCTTCCAGATTTTCACAAACCGTACTAATGGCGTTCCCAGCCTTTGCTTCGGGGGTGGTTAGGTTGAAACAGTCAAAGTGTCCTGAGTACCACACTCACCCAAATTGTGCACTGCGTTTAGTACGGAAGCTTTGGTTACTGAACCAGCACACAGAGCAAACGTGGGAGCTAAGCAGCAATTAGTGGCCCTACTCATGGCAATAGCCTCAGCGGACTGCAGTCTCTCATCTGCTTCTGCTTTTGAACGCCTAGAGAAGGCACTTTTCAAGGACTGCAGGGCTCTTCGAATCTGCGACACCACAACATGTGCACGAGCGCAGCCGGCCATAGATCGCCCACAGCGTAACTACGGCGCTGAAAAGGATCGAACATTAGGCAGCGATAATGTTATACTAGCTGGAATGTTTTAGCAGTGCGGCTTGACGTACAGGCTGTGAGACTCTTTCCCACGCACGAGTGGCCCAAAGGCGTCTTGGTTGGCCTTGACCTTCGGGTGAGCTTCCCGTTGTCCGGAGGACGTCCGTCTCTACAAATTAATTTAAAGCAAGCAACGATGCTGGATAGCGTATTCTCGATAGATAGTGTCTGAAAGTTTTGCCAGCGGTGATTAACTGCAAGCAGTGAAAAAGAGAACGCCTTTATCCGCACTTCTGTCGGTCTGGCTCACCTGTCAACAAGGAAGCGCGGGCTGTCGATTCAGTTTTTGAAACAAGAGCGATTAATGCTAATAGCAGAGAGAACAGAAGTAAACAGTTCCGTCGGCAACGTGCCATTTTTCCAGATCTGCTGGTTGGGCTATAGTGGCTACGGCTATCCTATTCTAAGGCCAAACAATTACAAAGGACGATTTAAACATTGAAATGCTACAAAAATGTGAAACGAAAAATATTTCACCCCAGAGAAGCCACGATGGGCTGGTCGGTTGTTCCACTGGACAAGGCGTGGCCGGACCGCACAGCGAACAGTGTTGTCGTTCCTCTTTCCCCAGATATTCCCACATCCATTCACAATTTCATTCAAATCTTCTTTGTCAGAAAACTACTGTCAGCAGAGGTGAAACTGACAGGGAACCCCTGTTTTGCCCCTGCGTCCGTGTGGTTTGCACGATTTCAAGTTCGTGCTTTGTCTCCATTGGGTGTTTCTGTACTTTGCACTGGTTGAAATCCGCCCGCAGCTTTTATGTGGCCCCGTAGTTTTTACGAAGAAGGCGAAAGCTATGACTGTAACTCATGCCAGACCACGATTGGCGCTTCTCTTAAGGACCACATTGAACACACCGAGTAGCCTGAAGAGCGCGGCTTGCTCTTTCGCAAACAGCCGGCTGGCAGAGGTGCGGTATAGAACCAACGAGTTGCATCCTTGTCACCCTAGGAGACCCAATAAAAAGCAGTGAAGACGCTGGGTGCACTCGAATGTCCATGATGGCAGTTCCATCGTCTCAATGAAGGAAAAAACACTGCCAGGCTGACTAAACGGCTGCATGCTTGAAGCCACAGGGCCAGACAGTAGCACTGAGCTCAAAGCGGTAAATGCGCATTGATTAGCGCGCACATGCAGTTTAACGCTAGACTCCACTCCCCCAATTGAATGGGAAACAGAAGTGCTCTTATTAGTAAGCCCTTTGCAGGGCTTACTAATAAGAGTTGTCTACAAGCGGCATGAATGCAACGTCAAGTTCCAGCTTTTGCTGCACCTGTTGGAGCTAAGGAGCAGCGCATATTGCAAGATAAGGAGCAATAAGCTCGGTGAGTGGGGCAAAGAAGGACAGTATAGCACAAACGTGAATGGAAGCAGTGAGTGCAGGCTGCTCTGTGCGCTTTAACTTTAGACGGCGACGCCTCTTCAAGAGTTAGCCAAAGTAAAGCTGCCAAAGCAACATCTCAAGCTCTTGGGTAGCAGATGCTGCTTGGGAAGATGAGTCAATAGGTGTAAACTAGGCACTGAGTTCGTTAGTGGTGCACTACGAAGACTGGGCCCATCCGTCTTGGCAGCTGCGCCGTCATATTACCTAAAAAGGATGCAGTATGAAAACGCTCCACGCAAAGAGGCAAGCCTCCAAGAATACAGTTATACTGGGCTCAGAGACGCTAACGCACCCTAGCAGCAACCGAAGTATCACCGGCCGGGAGGCTCTAGCCTTACGGCGAATTGTATGCTGTAGTGCGTGCAGCACTTCGCTGACTGCAATGCGCAGCACTTTGCTGATTCTAAACAAAATTAAGTGGTCGTGAAGGGCAGCTTCCATCGATCTGGCGCCACTTCGGGCTCTTGCAGCAGCACGCGACTTGGTTACAAGTCCTCATACTGGAGCTTTTAATCTTATCAGCGCAAGCCTTAAAAGACCAGTTTCCTTCAGTCAGCTTTGAACTATACGCGTTTGCAGCGTTGGCAAGAAGGGCCAGAAAGGGCAAAGTTGGCACATGAGAATGCCTTTATGTTACTACATTGTGGACAGACTCAAAATTCCGATCTTATGAATTCAAGGATTACCCTCTTGTCTACAGAGGTGGACGCTCGAATAAGCTGAGGCTGCCAAGCCTGAAAGAGCCGCAAAGAAAGTTCCCGTGGCCACTGCTGCTAAGGAGTGGGTTCCGGCTGCACCTAGGAGGAGAGGGCATGCAGCACTCAAAGCTGCAGCGGCAACAGATGTTGCGACGACCCCTGCCATAAGTGGGACAACGGCAGTGACAGCTGCGTTAGCTGCTTCCGTCTGCCTTTGCTCTTTAGTTGTGGGTAACTCCCCCTTCTCGTCTCCTGGGGGTCCAAAGAGAAACGTGGCAGGGTCATTAGCTGCAGGCTTATTGTCAACTTCTGAGCTTCCATGTGGAAAGTTGGCGATCGAGTCAGTTACTCCTGGGGGTTCTATTTCTTGGCGTTGATGCGCTGGGTCTGCAGGCTGTAAAAATCTGCGCATACTGCGCCCATAGACGCAACAGCGACAAGCCATGCTTCCATCCCCACCTGAATGTCTTTCACGACTTTTCGTTTGATATGGACTAGGCCACATGCTTTGTCTCGAGCTGCTGCTCGAGACAAAGCATGTGGCTTAGCCTAGGGCGATCCTTCGATAGGTTTATTGTGCGTCGTTGGACTTGCGGCACCCTCAGCGTCGTACTATAAGCTAAACCTCTCAGTCCCCACTAACCATTGAAGGAAAAACTGGCTCTGAAGGCTGAGGTATTCAAAGCAGGAGAATTTTCAGTGCCTTGATTGCTGGACTTGGTTGAGGCAAGAGGGATTTCGAAAACAAGATTGGAAGACTTAGCTTGTCCAGGCCGTCATAGATTGAAGGGCCTACTTGTTTTCAGTAGTCACAGTTTTATTGTATTATTCTCGAGACTTGTAACTGTGATTGTCCAATGGTTTGGGATTGTATCGTTCATCCTTTGCCCGTCCGCTTGTTCAGCCCACCTCCGACATTTATTCCCTCGCGGATCACATTGGTGTTTTTCTGCCTTTTTCTCCAATGAAAGCACCGGATCGTACACTTAAAAACATGAAACATTACTTTTCTACAGTTCCAAGTTCTTAGAAGGAAAGAATTCTCGTTTTTTCGAGTGTGCGCATGAGCGTCGGCTGCATCAATGAGGGCCAGCCCCCAGAACTTGAGTTAGCTGCAGAGTAAGCCTGATCTGTCGCACAACTAGACGTGTTCGTCTGATTTATTTGGTGGTATATATTTTTTGTTCTCTTCGCAAGCTGCTTAGGTTGGCTCTGCAAAACACTGCAGTGCTGCGCACCAACTGCTCTTGGCACAGGGGTTGTGCAAATGCGACAAAACTCGTAATCCCACAGCAATCAACTTTACGAGATAGCAACTAAATCTTAATAGTAAAATGCCATCAGCTCAAAATATGAACAAACTGCTCCCTGGAACAACCAGCCACGCCCCCTAGCTACCATCTCTAGACGGTTTTGTCAGAGCATTTACTTAACTGTCCGCGAATTAGGAAACACATGATTCACTCAATTCCTACAGACAATTTCAGCAACATATTTGAAAAGTCAGAAGTCTCTTACATTGATGTGTAGTTCCAGTTGCTAGCCACAGGCTCCACGTGAACGAACTCTGTGTGAGCACCTTTGGGAAATATACCGCGTGCTTCTTAGAAGAGGAGAAAGTCACAGCGAAAGCCAGGTATGTTTGCCGAAGAAGCAATAGAAAATTGGACATTGGCCTCAAAGAAATAGTTCCTCAAAGCGACCCAACGTCTTTGCTGAGGCCGTAAGCAAACGAGCCAGTTAAGCACTCTCTTCGAAAGACTATAAGCAGTTCCAGTGTTACGTGCCATCTGCTTTAAAATCGAGTCAAATAGTGGCCGCTGTCAAAGTGCCTGTCCTAATATACCTAATACGATGCCAAGCCACTATATATTTGTGAGGTTAATATACTTCAACATTCTCTTTGTAGAAGTGAGATGCTGGCTCCGCCTCTATTTTCCTGATAGGCGGGGTTAGTAGGGCCCTAGCTGCTCATTGATTTAGACCCTCTTTCAGGAATCTTCGAGCCATCATGGCTGACTGCAGGCACTTCTATATTTAAAACCATTTTCAAAAGCTATAATTACCGTCAGCCTACGCCCGCAATAGACCGTCAGGGCCTCTGGCCCTTTGGACCATACAGAGGAAATGGACGTCAACATGTGCAGAGAGCGTTTTATATATTTGCTCAGTTCCTTAAAATACCATAGTCACCCCTTGCTTAGCTTCACCCTGCTGTTTCAGCATTTCGAAGCTTCCCTTCTCTTTTTTTTTGCTTGCGCCCTGCGCTCTGCCTTCAGATCGTTGCTGTACAGGTGTTCCTTTCCTAAGCGTTTGTAGCATTTGCAGAATTTGGGCAAATGTAAGCATGTCGAAAAATTCTATACTTTGTCATATATGGATAACAACGCACAGTAATGGAGCGGCCCTCTGAGGCCCATGACATACAGCGCCCTATCCGATGTGTGCAAAGGCAGCAAGTTATGCGTTGCAAAAACCATAACGGAGCTGCCAAGGCAAATTTTGGTACACTCACCCAGTCATCTCTGAAGCATCCTGTGTTCTATGTAGCTCCGACAGCTAACACTAGTGACTCATTTCACAGGTCAAGGGCACATCCAGCAATCTGTTAGCACGCTGCAACCCAGGCTTGATCTGCCGTACAAACTTCACGGAAAACTGCTTGCAAACCTGATGTGAGAAAGTACTTCGTAATCACTTACACCTTTAATTCTATCTGCTCTGCGGGCACTTTGAACTCAGAAGCAATTAACGAGCGTTTATCTTTCTGAAACCTATTTGCCTTTCGCATGTTTAACTTGCTGGGACTCTTATCACGTGTTCTTACCATGAGTCTGGGGCCCAGGTGGGCCAGGACGTGTATTCTGTCCAGTCCTGGGGAGACAACTTGGCTATTTTGCGCCCTCTTAATCCGAGCTCTTTAAGTGACATGCCGAACATAGCTGCTCTTTTCAGGCTTCTGCTACTCAAAAGACAAGATTTTTGTGCGACAACTTTGGAGGAAGCCTAAGCTCGGCGGGTATGGAGTCACTGAAGGCAGCATGACAACCCTGTCACTCGTTGATCGACTCACTAAATATGCACTGCCCCTCATTTATTGAGAGTTTTTGGTCGAATGATGTAAGTCGGTTAACAGGAGTGAGCCAAGGTGTCTTTTCATCCTCAATATCGGTACATGGAGTCTATAGTGAATGTATAACTATATTTATGCAAGTCTGGCGTTTCCTTGTCTGGTGAAAATGCCTTCTTCCGACGCTGTAGAGCAGCCCGCTTGCTAAATTTCGGTAAGGAAGTACATGAGTTAGCTTTTTACAACCCGGCAGGGGGCTGGTTCGACTTCGTTCACGCTTGCTTTAATAACTCTTTCATCTGTACTCCTACCCTTGTTCGCATTTGTGACTAGTATTGTTTGAAAAGTGGACTTCAGGGCATTACAGCCTAACCTGAAAGTAAAGCCCGCTGTACAGTACATTCCTATCACTAACTAGCAGGTTCTCAATCCAGCCATCGCTCAAATTTCGCATCTGATGTCATATTGAACCATCGCTCAAGTCTCACTACTGGGGTATTTGTGAGTAGTACCTTCGGAGCGTCTTGATGTGCTTTTTATGTCTCTTTTGGCTTGCTGGAATGCAATAGGCGTAGGCCTCTCAGAGCTCCCTGTGGAGCAAACATTTGCATTTGCAGGTACTAAAACGTGTTGCCTGTGGTTAGGGTGAACTGTAATGACTTTGAGTTAAACTGTCTTTTGCTCAGTATGCCCATTTCCTGAAAAACTTTGGCTCCCTTCACTAAGCGCAAAGAAGCGCCTGCAGTACAGAACACTGGCTCGGGCTCTCTGGTTGGAGTAGTACTGCGATAGCTTAGTTCCTGGCGCTGCATTCCGCTCTGTTAGACTAAGTGCCCAGCGCAGAGAAATAGATCAGTGGGAATGAAGATACATGTAATTATTGGACAAGGCAGCGCTCAACGGGAAGAAGCGGGCCCGCAGGAACGAAACACGTGGGGTATCCCTTTTACTGAGAATTTTCCTCAAGAAACAGGCTTTTAGGGATGGAGACGCATGTGCCGCCTCGCTCAATGAGCAATCCCTTTGCACCCACAGCGCGCCGATGGGATGCTGTTACTTAGATTCATATAGCAATGCCCTGCCGCCTATCAGCCAGTTTACACCTTTGTCGCCCTGTGAGCGCCTCTGCGCCAGCAACGACTCACTACCTGAAAAACGTTTCTCAAGGATCTACCTTCTCCATGCTCCAAGCACTGCTGGTGTCAATTGTTCTTTCTCAGTCTTCACAGTTGCATCTTCCCACACACATGCTACCCCTGGGCTTGCAAAGTGGAGTCGTTGTATACTCAAAATAAAAACCCTGCCCAACAGCAGAAGAATGGAACACACAACTGCATAAGGAATTGAGATAGTAGCGTATCATGTAAGTAGAGTTCAATGTTTCCCTAATAGCTGTGGGCTCGGCTCATGGCCGACGCTTGACTAGTCACATGCATGTGCTGTGTGCTCAAAATAAAAAGCCTGCCCAACAATAACACAATGGAACAAACAACTGCATAAGGAATTGAGACAGTAGCGTAACCTGTACGTAGAGTTCAATGTTTCTCTGATAGTCGTGGGCTCGGCTCGCCGCCGACACTTGACTAGTCACATGCAGCACCCTACAAATGAACGAAGAACAGGCTGAAACTATGCATTTTAATTGGCATCAAGTCCACTTGGACAGATCTTCATGCAACTAAAGTGCCTGAATAAATGAAACGATATCGTGGCCCTTTTTCTCGAAAAGAGTCTCGCCTAGAAGTCGTGGGGCCCTGTACAGGCCCCAAATGCGGAATTCCTCAAGAACGCCAGTTGTTGTCTCACACTCCACTTAACCGTTGACAATCTTTAAGCTGCTAAGCCGAACTGCACGTCTTTGGTGGCTTCCCTCCCTGCTATGCGTGAGCTTTTGACCGTTGGGAAGAGACCTGAAGCTTCTTTGCTACGGAAGAGACCCAGTGCAACAAATCACTTTTTCTCGCCTTGAACTACAGGCGTGGATATTTTGGACCTTGCCAAACAAGCAGACACGTCGGACTGGCAACACAGTAGTGGATAACATCCTGGGAACGAGGTGACGGCTTAAGCCCCCAAACCTCCCGTCGAACCTTAGATCTTCGCCGCGAACCCCCAGCCTCTGACTGGTGGGCTTGGTGGCGCAAATGCGGATATATCAACACGGCCTCAGGGACGGCAGCTGACGAGTTTCACAGCCACGACGGTTCGCCGCCGCGTTGTTTCCAGCAGCAGCGCCCGGCCCGTCGGGATTACGGCGTAGGTTCAAGAGAATAAGAACGAAAGTATTTGAACTTGCTTTACATTTGAACTACTGGAGCATTTAAACACGCGCACTGCACAGCGAAGGGCCCCTAGGCAGCCTTTTCAAAAGCCCGATGGAAGAGAGGCAGAAGGCCCCCCACATACTTCTTGCACACTTTCGCATCAGCTTCTTGGTAAGTTCTGTACTTGCGAAACATTGCGGCTTTGAGTCCAGAGCATGCACTGGATCTTTTCGCCCACGGGCCCTTGAGTCTGCGTCACAAAACAGTGGCTTTTGCCATCGTGTTGTGACGCAAACTCGGGTTGCCGTTGCTGCTGCTGCCGGAATTCGCAGCGCTTTTAAGTGCTTCTGCTGCTGCTGCTGCAGGGCATTTGCGCCCTTGCAGCCCTCACATTTGCGGCGGAGCACTGCGTTGGCTTCAAGTTCGCCTCGCCGAGTGCACCAGCCGCGGGATTTGGTCAGATTCCCTTGAGGTGAGTTGCATCTGCAAGTTTTGTTTTCTTGTCTGTGTCGGAACTATTTCTTTTTTGTTGGGGCTAGCCCAAAACAGCCGCATGCGCTTCCTGCTGCAGGCTTAGAGCGGCAGAGGAGCTGCCTAATGGCTACACTCGAACTCAAATTAGGGCCTCTGGGGGCCCCGCAAACGCCCCCTTCAACCTGTAAGACTCGTGCGCCCGCACTTCAGGCTGAAGCCGCGTGTTCTTGTGTCTGCGTACAAGTTTTAGAAATGCTGCATGACGCAGACAGAAGAAATAGAAGCCCTGACAAAACAAACAGTCGCAGTCACTTGTTATAGCTGCAGCAGCAGGGAGGGGGCCACGGGCTGCGCTGCGCAGGTGCTGCCTACAGATTCTCCCGCTCTGCGCCCCTCAAAGTCCACCTGGAGCACCGCGAGCCCGCGGCGGTGTACACGGCGTACGGGGAGGTAGGGGGTCCCCTTGCGAGTCCCATGGAGTGCAGAGGAGCTTCGGGGAGCGAGGCGGAGCCCGGGGACGAAGTGTACCACTTGGTGTTTTCCTATGACCCCTCAGCGCTCTCTGGGAAGACCCAAGGGCCCTTTCGCTACCTCGAAGGACAAAGCGTCTCATTTGTCAACCTCAAGGACCAGCGAGAGGGGCAAGTCCAGAGTGGGGCCCCTCCCCCGAAGCCGCGTCTGTACAGCGTGGCTTCTTCGCCGCTGTGTCCGGACAAAGGCCTGCAGCACTCCTTCTCTTTGGTGCGTCACAAGCGTTTTGGTGGGAACCACTTCATTTCTTTCGTGGTCTGCCCCTCAGGGCGCCTCCTGTTGCTTTTCGGTTGAACTGCTTGCTGCTGGAGCCTCATTGGAAACAGTTTGCTTCTTGTCTTGCTGCAGTGCGTGAAGCGCCACCGCTACAGGGCGCCTGACGGCCGCTTTGACCCCTGCAAAGATGGCCTGTGCTCCTCTTTGTTGTGCACGGCCCCCATTGGCACAGAATTTGAAGTCGCCGGTACTAATTCCACTAATTCTAAATTCATTATCCTCTACCATATCTACTTTATTAAAGAAAACAACTTTAGTTTGGGCGGGGGTGTCGCTGCCGCTCTTCTTATCATGGCCACTTTTCGGGTGGACCATCACACGCCAAGAAATTCAAGAGTGACCCTTGCAGCCTCTTCTTTCTATGCATGCTGAACAGCCCTGCAGGAGCAGCAGCCTGCTACACTGCCCCCTGGCCTTCGCTGCTTTCCCCCTTTAAGCGTTGGTCTGCTGCGGAGAACCCCTTTTTGCTCAGGGCCAGTAGGGGCTTCGCTGCTGTTGCCTGAGGACCGCGACGCCCCTCTCATATTTGCATGCACGGGAACAGGCGCTGCTCCTTTGCGCAGCTTCCTACGGAGGGTATTTGCAGAAAGGCGCAATGGTTCGTCTTTGGCTGGCTGGCTGGTGTTGAGCTGAGCATGCATTTGCGCTGCTGTTTCTCCCTGCCTGCTAGGCACTGGGTGTAGCGCTAGCTGCGTGGCTGGGTGCAGAGGTAGCTAGCTAGCTGGGCGTTGCGCTTCAAGGCTCTGGGCGAGTGTGGACCAGGTTATGCGCCTCTGAGTGTGTCTGGGTTGCCGCTGCAGGTCCTGTAGTTGCCTACATTGGAGCTGCAAAGGCGGCCTCTACCCCGTACGCCCGCGAGTGGGAGGCGCTGCAACAGCTGCTGCCTCCTTCGCAGCTGCAGCTGCGCTTTGCGTATTCCAGGGAAATGAAGGCCCCAGATGGCGGCCGACTGTACGTACAGGTATGCACACATGTACGGCAGATAGTGATATCGACGGGGGACTTAAGCAGAAACGGCCGCAGCATCCTCTGTATTTATCCATTGGATACCAAGATGGCAATTGAGCCCACAGCTTAAGCTTCAGGGTTCCACTGGCCCCCAAGGTTCCTGTGGAGAGGCTCTGCCTTGATGCTTTCTTTCCGCCTTATTTACAATGTTGATATGCAGTGTGTACATGTACTTACTTTTGCAGCATCTAATGGAGGCTGATGGCGACGAGCTACTGCGCCTGTTTGAAGAGGGAGCACTGATGTACGTCTGCGGGCGAAAGGATATGCTTCCTCCCATCAAGGCTGCCCTTCAGGCTGCAGCGCAGAATAACAACGTGGATTTCAGCTCTTTCTTTAAGAGCCTTATTGCATCGAAGAGGTGGAGAGCCGAAGTTTATTGAGAGCGGACCACAATGTAGTTCAGAAGCCCCCGCCAGCGCAAAGGGGTGTGGGCGGCCAGCTCATTCAGGGACCGCAAGCTGGGCATTTAGGTCTGTTTGCGTTTGCTAGGAAGGACTGATCCGCGCTGCAGCTGCCTCGCTTTGCTATAGCCCTGAATAAACAAGTCGAGGCCGCATACAGACAACGGCTTAACCTCTTGCCGAGGACGCCTACAGTGCTCATTTGTATCACTTTCCTGGGTTGGGCGAAAGTCAGTTCTTCCTGCATTCATTTGGTCAGGTGCTGGAACAATGCCGGTTCGAATATTTGAAGTGATGGTATTTTCACTCCTTCGGCTAGGAAGGATGGGACGTAGCATCCCTTGGCCGCTGCCTCCCACACCCGCAGTGTAGTAAAAGTGTGGGGCCCCACAAAGTTTTCCTTAGCGAATGGTGCTGCGCGGCCGGCCGCTCGCTAGATAGCCGCACTTCCCTGCTCTCCCTGCCCGATACGGTCAACTGGCCAGCTCGTCACTGTCATACCAGCTGCAAGGCTAACTCAGTGTCTGAGTCTGTCTAGATACGCATCTGGCTGGGCTACTGCATTGAGCACTGGGGAGGCGCATGCACTCATCTTAAGCACAAACACGGCTCTCCATAGGTGTATTGACAAAGCGCCAAGACAAACAAACAAGCAGTAACGGGGAAAGGACCAAATCGGCAGAAGGGCGGTGCTGCCGGTGACCAAAGAGCATGCGTTTCTGCCCCTTTCTCCTCCCCAGAAACTTCCGGGCAGTTGCTACAACGTGCCTGTAGGATACTACACTTGAATTGCTGCTGCGTCTCGCGTGGGCATGCGTAAATGCAGCGGCAACCCGGAAGGGGGGAGCTGCTGCTCGCCTGGAGCGGTGTGCGTAAGGCAGGTAACCTCATTCCACTTGAGCAACAACGCTTAGCCACACCAAGAAACAAGCTCCACCAGAGACCAACGAATGTCTAACCGCACCGCTTTCGGGTCAGCAAACAACACGGAGGAACGAAGGGCGCAGGGGGGGGCTGCGGCCTGTTCGCCATGCGGGATAGCGAGGTTGCCCCTGTCTAATTACAGTGAAGGGCGCAGAGGGGAAGGCAGATGCTTCTCAAATGACAGGCTCTGCGCTAGAAGCTCGCAACCACAAACTGATATCTCACTACCACACACGGCGTCGCTTGTTGGACTAAGCCAGGGACGGACAGCGCCCCTAAGGCCGCAAAAGATGTAAAAGGCTTAGGGGATGCGCATATGGGCCTGCATCCATCGCGACTACCATACCATCAGCAGTTCAGCATTCTTCTCGTCTGCACATGCGGCAGCCACGATTCATATTGGCCCCCTGAGGAGACAGGCACCGCCGCTCAGGCCGAGGGGCACATGACCAGCCCACGCCCGTGGCTGAACCCTCTCTGTGCATGCCCTCACCCACGCATCACTGCTTGCATGTGTGCATGCAATTGAAAGGATTCGGCAGTCCCGCCTTCCACATCAGGTAAGCCGGAACTGAATAGTTGCCTGCAGCACTTTCGTTGGGAGACAAACACCACCACTGTCCTCAGGAAACAGCGGCTTCAGCCCGTCTTAGCCAATGCCGCTGCTAAAGCTCAGCACAAGGCACCTAATTTCTATTCCAATGAGCAAACCCGCACGCGTGCGGAAGGGCCCACAGGGGTGGGCCCGATGTAGGCGCACAGCATGACAGCTCGAATGGTGAAGCTGCAATTAGCTCTGGGGCATCGCAGCCGTCTTGATGACAGTTGCTGCAGCCACTGCAGTTGCTGCAGCAGAACGAGCTCTCATAATCCACCTCCAACGAACGCCTTTCATCCCCCGCCTCTGCGTAGAGCACACTTCTAGCGGAGCAGCGCATGCAGCCAAGAGTTGTTGGGAAGCATCCCAAGCCCCCCATGATCCGTACAAACCAGGGGTGGGATATTGTCTCATTTAAAGACATCCTGAAGAAAAACAAAGTCCAATATTAACTATGCCCTGGCCCCTAAACCCTACACCAACATAAGTCTTGCTAAGCCATTTCACAACTTGAAATTTTTAATCGGCTCCAGTATGCTCTCTGCATTCGTATAGCGAACACAAGCATGGAGACAGACGGAAGCAAATGGAACGGGGCACACAACACCAAGAAAAGAAAAGCAAAACAATAGAAAATACAAATAATTCGAGATAAACGAAACAACGAATAGTGAAACAATTGCACTTCGGGAAAGGAAAAAACTGACGGCAAACTGAGCAGGCGAATGCGCAGAATAGTTAAAGAGGCAAGATGTGCAAACTCGGCAAAGAGGATAAACAGAAAACAAACCTGCAGCGTGGATCGACAGTTAGCAAACGCCGGATGATGTCTTTGCATTCGTCCGAGACGTGTCGCCACTGGTAGCCGCTCATCGAGTAGGAGCCTGCGCAGAACATGGTCCACGAGATAAACCTTGTGCCTTAAACCCCTAAGCCCAAGAACCCATTTTCCAAACCGCTGCATACGCTTATGCACTTTATGGATCAAGGATATGCACTAAAACCCCCGTTTTGCATCACTTTAGACCTGCCTTCTGCCCTCCCTCTACCAGACATTCAGCAAGGCGCCCAGCCTATCTACGGGAACGAAACAGGGAGACCCACCTGCTACAATTCTTTGAACTACTTCCCCGACAGACTCGCCGAAAAAAGGAGGCGTTGCGGACACCGTGATGTAGAGGATGACGCCGAGGCTCCATACGTCACTCAGAAAACCATCGTAGTAATTACCAGATAGCACCTCAGGGGCCAGCTGCATACATCACACTAGAAGACCCTACAAATATGAGTGCCACCAGCAACTGTCCGCACGCTTCTTTCTGCGCACAGTAGAAGCATTCACATTACATGCAAAAACTGGGAGTAGGCAGCAAAGAGCAAAGGAAGCAAAGTGCAAATAATGCAGTCATCTTACGTAATGAATTGTTCCGCACGCGGTGCCGCTGAGCTCGCCGGGCACGGCGTAGCAGGCGGACCCAAAGTCTGTGATTTTGACAATAAAGTTGGACCCTCCAGAAGAGTTTTGGCCAGGGGAGCCCTGCTCGTCGTATCGGGAGGGGAATGACGGATAAGGGGAAGCGGAAGGCGACAGAGGCGGGACTCGCCAACAGTCGGAAGCCCCGGAACAGCTGCAGCCACCGCCCCGCAGCTCTCGCGAAAACAATATATTTTCCGGTTTCAGATCCCTGTGCACGATGTTGTTGACGTGGCAGTGCATGACTCCAGAGACCAGCTGCAGCAGCAAACCACAGCATTATCCCCACGTCAGTGCCCCGTTTTAGTGGCTCTATCCACATTCAAGCAATCCAAGTATACCTCTTTTGTGCCACCACCTTACACTAACACTGACAGGTGACGGAGCAACAACATTAAGAATCACCAGAGAAGATGAAAAAGTGGGCGAGTGCGGTAGGAATCAAACTAATGAATAAGCACAACAAGAAACAACTTCGTATTCTCACCTGGGCAAAGATGATCTTGGCATGCTCTTCAGAGAAGGCTCCGTCTGCTACGACTCTGTCGACAAGAGAGTTTCGGTCGCACAACTCCATGAGGATGAAGAGGCTTTTGCGATCCTCGTAGACATCGAGGACAGAGACCACGTGGGGGTGCCGCGGGAGGCGTCTGCAGCAGCAGCAGCAGCAGCGCACAATTTGCACAGATCCGCAACTCTCCCGCTCGAGTGCGGGGGCTCTTGACTCAATTTCCGGGATTTTAGGCCAAAGTAATGCAGCATTTCAGTTGCTGCTGGAGTTTACCTGTGGATCTCGAGCTCCTGCCTGCAGTCCCAGGCCTCGTCTGCAAGGGCGCGCCTCTTGTCCAGCATTTTGACGGCCACCATTTCGTGGGTGCGTCTGTTCTCCGCCAACACGACTTTGCCGTAGCGGCCCTCCCCCAGCACGAGGTGGGCCTGCGAGCCCTTGCAAGGCTTGGGGTCACCTGGCGGGGGGCCCCCGCTGGGGGCCCCGTCGACGGCCATTGGGGCTGCAGTTTCTTGCGAGGAAACTCCAGCAGCCACGGAGGACTCTCCGTCTCTGTCTCCGAGGTCTGCGCAGTACAAGTTGTAGTCCAGATGAATGTCTCTGTCGAGGTCCGGGTACACACTAAACCCCACTTCCGGAGTGGCCTTTCGGGACCAGTAAGCCTCTTCTGCCTGCCGCTGCAGCACAGCTGCATGCGCCGCAGCCTGTGCTGCTGCATGCGCAGCCACGTGCGCGGCCTTCGCAGCAGCTTCGTAGGCCTCCCCCAGGGGCCCCCCATGCCGCCCAGGGGCCTCCTCCGAGGGGGGCCCCTTAGCCCTTAGCCTGCAGCCCCCGCCGCTGCAAGCCTCGCACTGGGCGCAGGGGCAAGGCTCTCTGGGGGCGAAGTAGGCGGCAT